TATATATATATATATATATATATATATATATATATATATATATATATATATATATATATATATATATATATATATATATATATATATATATATATATATATATATATATATATATATATATATATATATATATATATATATATATATATATATATATATATATATATATATATATATATATATATATATATATATATATATATATATATATATATATATATATATATATATATATATATATATATATATATATATATATATATATATATATATATATATATATATATATATATATATATATATATATATATATATATATATATATCTTAAAAGGAGCTAATAAATTTGTCCTTAAAATTTTTTAAAAAAAAATTTAATTGTTTTTATTCTAGCCAAAATTAAACAAATAAGACTTTCTCCAGTAGAAAAAATATTATCAGACATGCTGTGATAATGTCCTTGCTCTGTTACACATCATTTGGAAAATATTTAAAAAACAAATAAAATTCAAAGAGGGGCTAATAATTCTGACTTCAACTTTATCACTGGATTGGCAAAGCAAAACTAGTAACAACACATTATAAACAAACCACTTAAGATGCATGGAAAATTTATACTTCATAAATAAATACAAAACAAAAGCGGACCATGCTCTTCATACTGTCATAGTGACTCAATATGGTCCCGAATCCAGAACAGTCAAAATATATCTGAAAAAAAAACAAGCAAACTAAAATGGTACCTACAAAATCTCATTTCTGCTTTGAAACAAGTCAATAACATCAAACCCCAACTTTTCAAGACGGGTTTTGTGCTTTGACTCGATTTCCACTCAGCATTCATAAGCAAAGTATTTACATCCACTTAAAAACCAAAGCATGACAGAGTTAGAAAAGGAGAAATAAAAAACAAACAATTTTAGGGAATAAAAAAATGAATCAGGGAAAACACCTCCACAACAATAAGGCCTCTAAAACAACGCCGGTTTCCACAGAAGGGAAGTTTACAGTGCAGACGCATGCAAAACCCAACGCCACAGATATCTAACGCCTGATAACACTGATGAAAATAAAATGCTTCTTATGTCAATCAAATTGAATTCGATCGCCACAAATTGAATTCAGCAATTTGTGTTCTGCTTTAGTCTATATTTACAGTGCTATTGCCTTTGAATTGCCTTTGATTTGGTTTTTAAATATCTTCAAATTTACAACAATTCAACAAATTTTCCTTCATGCTTTAAATCCTGTTTGTCTAAATTGGCAATGGTTGCATTAACAGTAGTCAATTGGATAAGATTTGTTCTTGGAAAAGCATCTATCCAGGATATTTATTACAGTTGTTTCCTATTCGAGTCTGTTTTATGTATTTAAAAAAAACAAAAAAGCATCCGTCTTCTGCTACATCTGGAGTCAACAATAAGTTGTATAAGCAGTATAAACTAGGCTACATACTTACTAAGAAGTAGCTTTTACTGAAAACTAAATGTGAACGACTTTTTGGCGCATGTGGTCAGGTCAAGTAGGCCACTGATTATCTAATATTTGAAAACAACCAAGCATAATGGAGACAAAATGCATGTAATCCGTCATTAAGGACTCCAGAGTACCACCCCAATCGAAAAACCCATCATCCAAAATTTTGAGTAGTATTGCTTGTGAACAGAATGCTACAGTACTCACTTTACAAATCAAAGACGCAAGGGAAGAATGACACATGTTTAATGGCTGATGGAAAACCAGTCTGGTAAGAAGCGTGGCTTGTTTGGTTTGTCGTTGGCATCTGCATGAAAGAACAAATCAAGTGTACAGATTCCTCATAAGACCACAGACATGTGAACATGTCGAAGCAGGTTTCTCTTGGCACTCAGGATTGTTTTAAAAGAATTGTACACCCCAAAAAATAATTAACTCTCTCTCACGTCCTTCCAGACTTTTATGACTGACTTTGTGCAAAACAAATACTATTGAAAGAATCCGAGAGCGCAAACAGTGAAATTCAGTGGAGTTAGATGGTTTTGTTTTGGAACAAATTGCCTTTGATTACATGAATGTTGGTTGCCATTTAATCAGAAACTCATACAGATTTCGAAGGACCTTGAGGGTGAGTAAACGATGGGTGAACGAACTCTTAAGGACTGTGCACACTGAGACGTTTTTTGCTTGCGTTTTCCGTCGACGTTTAACGCCTCGTGACTAAATAAAGGGCGTCAATGTGATTGTGTACATCAATGCGCAAAACGTCACAGTTACAGTAAAGTTACACAGTTACAGCAGTTACAGTAAACAGCACTTGGAAGCGCTCAAGCGCAAAACTGTCAATGCGAGCGCACATCGAAGAAGATGCCCAGAGGTGATATGAACGTTTAGCTGCTTATTGCACTGGTGAACAATAATCATTTCTTCATCGCTAGAGCTGGAGCTACTGCTTGAACCATCCATGCTTGTTCGAGCCACCAGTAACTTTAACAACAAGCGTGTAAACTTCCTCTCCTACTCTTCTGTGTTATAAGCAGGGTTTTAGAAGCTTAAAGTTTAGAGGTGTGAACCTACACTAGTCTCACGGTTCGGTTCGGTTATGATTATCATGCCAACGATTCCGTTCAATTTGATATTTCGGTGCATCACGGTGCATTGACGGTGCTTAGTTTTATTTAGTTTTACGATGCACAGTTTTATATTTTCTTCACAGCAGTTGTTTCTTGTATCTTGGGTTTCTTGTATTAAAATGTAAGAATATATTTATATTTATATACTATTTGTAATACAATTTTGTCATTTAATACAAACAGTCAGATATATAAACTGTAACTTTAAACAAAACGAGCATTTAGCAAATAATATAAACAAATATAAATATCCAGCTCAATTTCTGATCCTTGTCTAGTTCTCTTACACATCTTTGATTGGTCACACCCTCAAAAAAAAAAAAAACGGTTGCGATTGGCTTTTGCGCGCTGCGTTCTTCATAGATGAGTGATGCTGATAAGCGGCAGGCGGCAGCGGCGATCTCACAGCTGATGTATGATAGACACGGTGGAGAAAACTCTGCAGACATGCGCTCGTTTCTTTATCCAGAAGTAACGCTGTAAAACAGCCGAGAGGAGAAGAAAAGCCACGTCAGCAGGTCAAATGGGCCACTGTGTGTGTGTGTGTGTGAGAGAGAGAGAGAGAGAGAGAGAGAGAGAGAGAGAGAGAGAGAGAGAGAGAGAGAGAGAGAGAGAGAGAGAGACAGAGCGCGCGCGAGAGAGAAAGAGAAATGGAGGAGGCTACTTTCATTCTCTCGATCTCAGTGAAATAGGGGCTATTGTTGTGTATGTCAGTAAAAGACTGATCCAGCAAACACACACAGTGAAATTGTGCACAGTTTATGAGTTAAGTAGTTAAATCGCTGTAAATACTCGCGATCGCCTCCCTCACGACAGAGCGCATATGAGGTAAATGACGTCAGTAATAACCGGTTATGATTATTACTGAACCGATACCGAATTGTCCGCTTCTGCATCGCAGTGCACCGAAAAAACGATTATTTTTGACACCCCTATTAAAGTTGCGTAGCGCCATCTAACCTTTTTACTATTTTGCATTCTTTTCTGCTTGACGCCAGTAAAAATCGCTTGGGTTTGAATACGGAAAAACGTCTCGTAAAACGCTGACCATAAACGCAAACGAAAAGCGTCCCGGTGTATAGAAGCCTTTAGTTCACCAAAAACTGAAAATGTGGTTATTAATTAGTCACCCTGGTGTCATTCCAGTCACCAGAGACCTTCAATTATCTTTTGGAACACTAATAATAATTGAGATATTTTAGATGAAATCCAAGAGCTCTCTGACCTTCCATATACAGCAAAGATGTTTGAGCGAAAAGTTGTCAAAACATTCCATAAGACTTCAGTGGTTCAACTTTAATCATACGAAGCTCCAAGAACACTTTTGTACGCCAAACAAAAATAAATATGGGTAATATTTATATGTACAATTTAAAACCCAACAGTCAACTTCATCAAATGAAATTAGTGTATTTAACTCAAAATTGACTGAAACTTAATTCTACTCATTTGAAAAGAGTTTTCAACTCAGTGTTGAAGGTAATGAGTTAATTAAATACCTCATTACTTCATCTTAAATTAAGTTTACAGTACTCATATACATTCGTTTTTTTAAACCTAAATGGTTTATAGAAATTGGTTCGAGTTGCCTTAACTTTTTGGGTTTTACAGTACTCAGCTGGTTTAAGTTCTCTTATTGGGTTTTACAGTACTCAGTTGGTTTGAGTTCTCTTCATTTGTTGGGTTTTACTGTGCTCAAATTGTTTCGTTTACTCAATGGATTTAGTTCACAGTACTCATTAGGATTAGTTTTTGAACTTAAATGGTTTGTTGCAATCGGTTTCCTCAAACGGTTTGAGTTACCTTAACTTTTTGGGTTTTACAGTACTCAGCTGGTTTAAGTTCTCTTATTGGGTTTTACAGTACTCAGTTGGTTTGAGTTCTCTTCATTTGTTGGGTTTTACTGTGCTCAAATTGCTTCATTTACTCAATGGATTAAGTTCACAGTACACATTAGGATAAGTTTTTGAACTTAAATGGTTTGTTGCAATCGGTTTCCTCAAACGGTTTGAGTTACCTTAACTTTTTGGGTTTTACAGTGTATTTGTAAATATGACTTTTTTTTGCCTACAGGTATTTGTTTAAAAGATGATGTAAGTGGGTCATCGTTTCAGAATAGACCATCAAGATCTCCAGTGTAAATGCAGCCATAATGTGTTTTAACAACAGATATATTTTTGTGTTACTTTGAGTCATTTTAATCAGTTAATCAGGTTTCAACTAAATAATTTTATTTACATAAAGTTTTACTTAATATTTTTAATCAGTTTGACTGATGTTGAGATGACTAGAAAAAGTTCATTTGATTTAACTAAACAACTTTGGGCAGCAAGACTTTTTTACTATTATTTTTTTTTACAGCACATTGTGTTTCCCGTAATAAACACACACTCGTATGATGTGGGAAAACTTAGGCAAACAAAGTTGTTTTGGGCATTCTGTCTATGAAGAATGAGAGAGCTCTCTGATTACATCTAAAATATCTTCATTTGTGTCCTCAGGATGAATAAAGGTCTCAGAGGTTTAGAATGACGTGATGACGAATGGTTAGTAAAAAAAAAACAATCATTTTAGGGTTAATTAATCTTTTAAAAATCAAACCATTACACAGCTGATGTGTTAAGTGGACATCCTAAATGTAACAGAAAAAGCTTTAAGGTATGTAATATTCATGATCAAACTCAACGGGGTATGATCAAAAAGTTGTACCGCCATAAGTGTACAGATCATGTCTAATCTTAACACAGATATGAACACTATACCATCAAATTTCAGCTCTGTGAAATGGTCAACCCTTACTAAGGTCTACACAAATGGTGTCGAATTCAATTTCTGGGGCCGCAGCTCTGCGTAGTTTCTCTCCAACCACCTCCAACTCACACCTGCCTTATAGTCTCTAGTAGTCTTGAACACCTTGATTAGTTGGATCAGCTGTGTTTGATTAGGGTTGGAGCAAAACTGTGCAGAGCTGTGGCCCTCCAGGCATCAAGTTTGAGACCGATGCTCTAAGCCAGGGATCACCAAACTTTTTCCTGGAGGTCCGGTGTCCTGCAGATTTTAGCTCCAACCCTAATCAAACACACCTCAACAAGCTAATCAAGGTCTTACTAGGTATACTTGAAACACTCGGGCAGTTGTGTTGAGGCAAGTTGGAGCTAAACCCTGCAGGGGCAGACTAACCCTGACATAGCATTAAACATAACACAATCAGCAGATCCCGTTTTGAGTGCCACTGTGGAAATAAAGCAGAAAAAAAAACAAGTCATGATGCTTTATAAAAAGGAAGACCGAAAATGCTGATCCACACAAAACTTCATCAATTCCGGAACCGTGACTTTGCACTAATGTGGAAATAAAGCATATTTTATTACGTTTTTTAGAACTTCAGCTCATTCAAGTCTTCAGTTTTAATGAATTTGCTGGGATGGAAAGTGCAAATGATAACAAGACAGGACTGATTGCTTAGAAGCTTCACAGCTCTCCATGTAGAAACATCCAGATTCGTGAAATGTCTAGAATAAACGTTTAAACATGACGTGCTGATACCACTCTACTGGCTTCACTTATTAACATAAATGTTACTCTTCGGATTCAACAACCACCATAGTTGCTATAAGTCATTATATCCTAGGGGTTTGATCAAAGTTGGCCTTGTTTAATGCATGTAACAACTGTTGATGGTTCAACCGCCGAGCAGAAGCACAAATGTAAAAGCGCAATGAACCATCCGTAACTGTAAAAAGGACTCACAGAGCTCTGATTGGAGAGCAGTGATTGGAGATCGGGAACGCTTAGAAGTTTCTGGTGTTGTTGAAGGAGTTGGAGAGGAAGGGGGCGCTGGGGGCTACGTATGGCGGAGGTGGCGAGCTGGTGGTGCTGAGGTCTGGGTAAGGCTGCAGACCCATCTGTTTGTTGTCCTGAAGTTTCCTCACCACCACACGACAAAACTCCTCGCTGTGCCGCTCGCATGTGTCCAGGAGCTTCCGCACTTTGGCGGTACGTGTGGTTTGGTTCACGACCAACTCGTAGTCTTCACGCATCAGGAGCTCACGAGACAATAAAGCGTCTAAACTCTGATTGAGACACGCCTCGGTCATCTGGCGCACTACTTCCTCCCTTCGGGCAGCGATCCAGCGGGCAGCTGGACCTTGATCGTCAAACGCCGTGACAAAATCTGTCAAGACATATAAAAAGGATGAGGTGGACATTATTGCTTTTTTTATTTAATCGACAATTAAGTATGGCTACACAAAATAATTCACGATAATTAGTGTTGTTAGTTCAGTATAGTGTTGGGCGATGTTGACCAATTTGGCCAACATCGTGGGCCAAATTGGGCATCGATGTCTAATGTAAAACATCGCAATAGATGAGGCACCGTTGTCGTAGGTGGCGTTGAATTAATTATTTATGAATAATTATTTAAATTATAATAAATTAATAATTTTTAGCCTACCATTTTAACTACCTGACCTGGATGGTCTGTTTTTTACCCATAACCAAATCATAAATAAAGATAACTTATACACAAATTACCACCTGTCAATCACTTTTTTCATGGGACTCTGGCATGAATAGGCAGAGTGATCGGTGTCGTTATAATGGCGTCGACAAACTTGGTTGGTAAAAAAGGTACACAACCAACTAAATTGCTCACTAAAATTACAAAGTACAAGCGTGAAAGCGAAAGATTGAAGCAGTGTACTGACGCTGTGACACGTTACCTGATAGATTCAGAAGACCGAAGAGTCACCCGCTATCTACTGGAGCTCAGACACATGCATACACTGCAGCGCATGCCTGTGTGTGTGTGTGGTCATGTGATGTGCGTTTTCAGCGGTGTTGTGTGGAAGGAGGACTTTTCAGAAATGCTAGGTCAAACACCAGTGTGGATGTGGATCGTTTTAGTTCTAAAATGTCATTTTAAAACGAAGACATATCAGTGTAAACGGGGCCTTGTGTCTTTTAGCGAGTGGGTTGCTTCTGCGGTGGGGATGGGGCTGAGGATAGCGATGCCAGCTCAGCATCGTAATGTCTATTGGTCAACGGCGATGGACGATGGATCTATGGACCCAACCCTAGTTCAGTAGTAATTTTAGAAACGCCTATTTCATGCTTAATATTTTAAACACCACTGATTGGTCATCATGTTCACATGCTCAATGCTCAACAGAAATGACTGTGATTAGCTCTGAAGGTCTTGCTTCCATTGAAAGATGCAAAATAAATTTAAGCACAGAACTGGAATTTCACATAAAAGATCTGCTTATAAAGCAGCATTTCCATCCAACGAGTCAAAGAGACCAAAATAGTCACTCCCTGATTTACTGGCACTAAATATGAGAAGTGAAAATGGAATTCTAGCTGCGTTAATCTTTTCCTTATTTAATAAATTATTGGTGTCTCGGAAGACAACGCTCACGCGCAATGAATGTGGTGATATGTTTGAAGGTGTGAGACAGGGAGCATAGACGCTCTTGACAGCTCTGGAGGTCATTAATAATATAATAACACTAATACTGAAACGCCTAAGCGTTTTAGAATGACCAAAACAACATTTCAGATGTTTTACAATGTGCACAGCCTGCTGGTTTATCCATTCGCACACACTTTTATCATTACATAATCTCTTATAAATCGCATGACTTTTTTTTAATGCGCATACTGGAATTTGTTCTGTAAAAGTGTTTCCATTGTAGTCTTACCTAACAAAAAGTGTTCCACTTCGTTATGCGCTTATGTTTTTTTAATACGCCTTTTCAAAATTTATGTGCATCTTGGCATTTCCATAAACCGCTTTTTTATGCGCATATCTAAAATGTGCATTAAAATTAGTGGACAGAATCAAAAATACAGCTGTTCAAACACAAACACAAATAAACGGATACTGGAGCATTTTAAAGTCACGTAGATCAGCTGATCTGTCTGTGAACTGACATATAAACAATCCGCTAATGAATCGACTGATCCACATGGTTTTGAACTGCTAATACTTTTATAATTTCATTTTATAATTGGTAATATTTTTTCAGAATTTTTTTAAACACCATTAGGGGGAAGCACAGACAAATGAATAACTGCATTATGAGAAAGTTGTAGTATTTTTTTAAGTTTATGTAGGACCTGTAATCATTAGTTTTTAAAAAGTGTTTTCTATTTTATTAATATTTACATTTTTTTCACATTTGATCAAACATCAAGAGATGAAGTTCTAAATAAAGCAATAAATATGATCGCATATGAATGCATACATTTCTAAATATATACTTCAAAACGTAAAAAAAAAAAAAGAAGAAGAAATGGTTCTTATATTTATACAAAAGTACTGTACGGTTCTCAAATCTGATTGGCTGATAGTCGTGCGATATTCAGCAATATCAGCACTCTTACAGCTTCTTCACTCTTGTGTATTACGCTGCCCACATGAGTCATGACAAGCAGAGGAACAAGCTCACTACAGTTTGACCAATACTGCAAGAAAGTAGTTCCTTATACAAACATGTTTAAGACTCTCTGCGATTCTTTTTAATATACACGATTATGCAGTTGAACGCAATATTACACCTCCCACCAGTGCCAATATACTGTACAGCCATATCTCACTGCTGCTCCTGAGATATTGCTCATGTATCTTCATATATATTATTAATATTAGTAATAATACTTGAATTGACAGAATATAGACTGTGTTTACCTTGTGGGTGTGGATGCAGTGTGAGGGGTTGTATGGCAAGAGCCAGCTCACTTTCACTCTGAGGCGCATGAGCTTTGAATGGTATGTTGAGGTCTGACACGACCTGCGCTGTCTGATATTCAGGACTCAGGTTGTTGGGAGAGCAGTTGTCCATAAGAGGCTTTGGGGGATCCAGTGGAAGAGACATTAATGATGACGGCAGACCCGCATAAGCACCTGAAGATGAAGATGTGAAACAAACAGTATTACACCAACCAGAAAACCCCAAGGAGAAGATATAAATGAGATCGATTAGATGCCAACATTTTTTACTCCTCTTCCAAGCTGTCCTAACCACTAAGTTATCATTGTTCTCAAATACACTTTTAACCCTGGGTAAAAGAATAGTAAAGAGCTAAAGAAAACCTCCAGAGTTCGCATAAACATTGCAGTGCCAGTGTGAAACAATCAGGTGGTGCAATTTTTTTTTCTTTAGATTAGCAACAGACAACCATTTTGGTTGGTTTTAGTTTTATAGTCCAGGTCAGGAAAGAGTTGTTAGTACAGCTGGCTTACTACAGGGATGGTTCAACAAATATGTACATTTTGTCATCATTTGCTCATCCATCACTTGTTCTAAACCTATTTGAGTTTCTTTTTTCTACTTAAATTTTGAGTCACACACAATATTTTTAGTTGTCTTTTCTGTTGTTGTGGTATATACATATTAGCAGTATATAAATATATATATATATATTATCAATATAAACAAATAAATAAACAAATTATATTTTTATATATATATATATATATATATATATATATATATATATATATATATATATATATATATATATATATATATATTTTTTTTTTTTTTTTTTTATATATATATATATATATATATATATATATATAGATAGAGAGAAAAAAAAAAAAAAAAAAAAAAGAGAGAGAGAGAGAGAGAGAG